TACAGGCATGAGCCACTGCACCCGGCCTCATATCTTATGTTTTAATTGGACTTTTCTATTTTAAAAATGGGAGAGTAATATTGATGGCAATTTATGGCTTTTCCCTAAGATTTGTGATTTATGTGAAACCAGAGAAGCAGCTGCTTAAGAAAGGGGACTTGGCATCTACATTCTAACCCACTAGGAACCTTTTTTATTGCTCCTTTTCTGTTTTAAACTGTTTAATTCTCTATTATTATTAATTTTAGGATCTCTTTTTTGTGTTTTTGGTCTTTTGCATAAGAAATACAGCAATATAGTTCTTATATCCAGCATTTTCTTTATTTAGAATGTTTTCTTAATCCTTTGGCTTGGGATTACTGGTGTGTATTAACTCGGGCTCTCTAGATTGCAAGTGACAGAACTTGGATTCACATGAGCATAAGCACAAAAGGAGACACATTGGCTCCTAGAATTAAGAAGTTTTCCAGGGGACAGTTAATATCAGGCTTGTCCTTCAACTGATGTCTTCAGGATGTCATTTCTCTGTTGTTCTGTGATAAATTGACTTCATTTTTCAGACAGACCTTCATACCTCACCTAGTTAGCCATTGATAGCAGTCCCAGAGAGAAAGATGAGCTCCTCAGCTCTGGTATCAAAGAACTCTGAGAAAAGAGTTCTGATTATCCAGTTTCCAGAAGGAAAGGATGTAGGACATACGAAATAACAGATGTCTACAAGAGAGGTAAAAAGGAAGGAATATTTCCATAATGTCTTCTCAGAAAAGGAAGAATGTGTTACGGACAAAGGGTTGTGCACACAGCGGACAGCTGTGGGCGGCACACTCAGTATTTCAGTGTCCAGAGCATTTAGTTGGAAAGGTCTGAATCTGCTGATGTTTATTTTACCAGTAACTAAATTAGTAGTTAATGGAACAGGCATATAAGATTGACATTTGCTAGCCATTCACACTACCTATGACACTGTTTGAAGCTGCTATTGAAGAGATTGTGGTTAACCGTGTGTTGAACATACAGGGTAGCTGTAAGTTTGTGTGCAGTTGGCTAGGTGCAGTGGCTCACACCGTAATCCTAGCACTCTGGGAAGCTGAGGCGAGTGGAGCTTACGAGTTCAAGACCAGTCTGAACAAGAGTGAGACCCTGCCTCTACTAAAAGTAGAAAAACTGAAGCAAGGTGATTGCTTGAGCCCAAGAGCTTGAGGTTGCTGTGAGTTACAATTTCATAGCACTCTATTCAGGGTGCCAGAGAGAGACTCTGTCTGGGGGAAAAAAAAGTCATGCGATTTAAAATTACACATGAACTTTATGGCCACCCTGTATAGTTTCCTACTGACCAGAAACTATGTAGAAATTTAGCTCTTGAAGATAATTGAAGAGTCATTTCTTGTTACAGCTAACATTGGAAAAGGCAGTATAGGAAAGTAGACTTTTTTCAAGGCCACATACAGAATAGACTTATTGGCAGTTGGGGTTGAGGTCAGTGTCTCTGCTTGTCAGTGGCAGACGAGGAAAAAGTGGGGAGTGGTAAAGGGAAGAGAGAGAGACAGGTGGAAGCCAAGCGCAAGGACAGGGAGGATGAGAGGTAGGTGCTGGGAGCTGGTCCCAGAGGTTTTCAGGGCTAACGGTTCTAGTCTTAGGAAGCTGCTGCTTCTCTAGGCTGAAGGGTCATTGTTTTTCTGTTGTCACCTTATGCTTATCTGGAGATAAGCTTCTTAAATCTTTGTGTTCTTCAAAATTATTCTCTCTTCTTATTTCTACGAAGCATCTTGGTTTTTTTTTTTATAAGTCTTAATTCAGTATTTTAAGTAAACCTAGAATGTTTATAACATTTTTCCGTGAGTGTCTTCATCTGTTTCGTCCTGCTGTATGTAACAGAAGACCAAAGACTGGGTAATTTGTAAAGGACAGAAATGTATTCTCACAGTTCCAGAGCTTGGGAAGTTCAAGGTGCTGGCAGGTCAGGGCCTGGTCTCTGCTTCCCACATGGTACCTTGAACGCTTTGTCTTCTGAGGGGTGGAATCTTGTGCCTCGCGTGGCAGAAGAGCGGCAGAGGTCGACCCTGCTCCCACGAGTCTTTATAGTGGTGTTGATGCATTCATGAGGGCAGAGACCTGGTGACCCAAACGCCTTCTTTAGTCCCACGTCCCAGCACTGCTGCTTGAGGACTAAGTGTCACCATGAGCTTTGGAGGCGTCAAAACCATTCATACCGCAGCAGGGAGTGAGTGGCACTAACATTTAAATGTGGTTTAAATGTTTAAAGGAGTTTCTTGGTTCTTTTCTTTTTCTTTTTTTTATTAAATGATAGCTGTGTACATTAATGCAATCATGGGGTCTGGTTCTTTATTTTTGACTTTTTTTTTTTGCGCAGTTTTTGGCCGGGGCAGGGCTTGAACCCGCCACCCCTGATATATGGGACCGGCCCTCTACTCCTTTGAGCCACAGGCACAGCCCAGTCACATTCCTTCTAGCTACATTACAAGTTAATAAACAAGAGACTTAGGTATTCTGTATTTGGAAGTGAATGAATTGGATTTAGCTGGGTTTATAAAAAAATGAAAGCAGGATTCCTAAAGAACGATAATAAAACAGCAGGTTTCTGTGCCACTGCCACAGGGAGCTTGGCTGTTGGCACACTGGGCTCCTCTCCAGGGGGACACCCACTTCCTTCCAGCAGAGCACCATTTATCTCCTGGCTGGAGGATTGAGGTTGATGTGACAATGTTTTTAAAAAATACTCCACCACATGACAAGCAGCATTGTATCTGCTTTTGCAGCTGGGTGAGGAAAATACCCCCGCTGGCTTCCTAAGCTAAGACCTCAGGAAGACTGCACTGCCCTGGCCTGCCCTGCCCTGGCCTGCCCTCTGCTCCCCTCCCAGCTCTCACGGAGCAGAAGGACGCCTCTGATGGGACAGACCCTGCGCTACCATTTGCCTCTCTCCAACATTTTATCAGGAAAAATTCCAAACGTGTAAAAAAGTTGGAACGATTTTCCATTGAACACCGTAAAGCCACCCTCTAGATTATGTAAAATAATAAAATATGTAAATTTTTACAGTACCTGCTACATCACATATTTGTCCATCAGTCCATATTATTATTTTTTATGTATTTCAGAATAGTATTTGGGTTTTTTCCCAATCTTTTGTCACTAGAAATGAATCCCTTAATCCTGCAAAGGATTTCAGGCATCAGGAAGCAAGTACACAAGGACAGTGGCAAGCAGAGTTTTGTGAGTTCTCACCCATGGTATTTATGTATTTCAGAATAGTATTTGGGTTTTTCCCCAATCTTTTGTCACTAGAAGTGAATCCCTTAATCCTGCAAAGGATTTTCAGGCATCAGGAAGCAAGTACACAAGGACAGTGGCAAGCAGAGTTTTGTGAGTTCTCACCCATGGTAGGTGCTCAGTAAATATTTGTTAAGTTAATGCAGTGCCGTTAGTCCTGTTTGACTAGCCTATAGGTAAACTGGAATTTGCCTTTTAGGATAAAGTACTTTCTAAGCAAACCATGTTTCCTAGACACATGTGATCATCATTTTATTGGATGGATTTCTGGGAGATAGTCCATGAAAGACAATTGTTTAGAATGTGAAATGGATGGCTCGGCACCTATAGCTCAACCAGCTAGGGCGCCAGCCATGTACACCTAAGGTGGTGGGTTCGAATCCCCAGCCCGGACCCGCCAAACAACAATGACGGCTGCAACCAAAAGATAGCCGGGCGCTGTGGCGGGCGCCTGTGGTCCCAGCTACTTGGGAGGTGAAGGCAGGAGACTCGCTTGAGCCCAGGAGTTGGAGGTTGCTGTGAGCAGTGAGGCCATGGCACTCTACCCAGGGGACAGCTTGAGGCTCTGTCTCAAAAAAAAAAAAAGAATTTGAAATGGATTTTAAAGTATAGATAGTTAAGGGGCCAAGTGTGGGGTGGCTCATGCCTGTAATCCTAGCACTCTTGGAGACCTGGACAGGTGGATTGCTTGAGCTCAGGAGTTTAAGACCAGTCTCTAAAAATAGCGGGGCATTGTGGAGGGCACCTGTAGTCCCAGCTACTCTTAGCTGAGGCAAGAAAATCTCTTGAGCCCAAGAGTTTAAAGTTGCTATGAGCTGTGATGCCACAGCTCTCTACCGAGGGTGACAAAGTAAGACTCAAAAAAAAGAAAACCCAAAAAAGTATATATAGTTATTATATATTATAAAGATACATATAAACATTTTATACATGTATGTTTTTTACAACTGTGGTTATCAGGAATGTGAGCGTGGCAGTGTAAGGAACTCATGGTTCTGGCTTGCTGTCTGAAGGATCCTTTCAGGGAGAGGCTGAAGGAGTAGCTTCTCACCTAGCACTAGTCGTTAGTCTGTTTTATATGAAATCAACATTTCCTTTCAGGGAAAAGCTTGAAAACCACAGCTATCTTGGTAACCTGACAAGCAGACAGTGCCCCATGTAAGTTATAATACGGGGGAAGGTATAATAGCATAAGAGTGGACCCATGTCTTAAGTTTCTGAGTTAATGTGGCCAGGGATGCTGCATTATCCAAGTTCATCCCAGTGGCTAGTTCTAGGTAAGGAGTAGTAAGCATTTGATAGCCAGGGAGTCTGTCAAGACGTATGCATCTTTTATACGTGTGTGTGCCTGTCTTCAGTTCCTGCCAGTAGTCCCAGAATGAACAGTTATCTGTAGGGCTTACTGTTTTTGTTGTTTTGTTAGTGAAATAGGTGTGTTTTGAGTTACTTTTTGTAGGGCTGATCTCTAAATGCAGTGTGGGCAGCTGCTGGAAACCACCTCTGCTAAAAGAGAACGGGAGCTGTCACCGCTGGGGTTTTCTTCACAGTGTGGCTGATGACTTGTTTTGGGACCAGTCTTCCTTTTTTCAGAACAACCACAGCCACTGTCATGCTCAACCCAGCATGTTTACCGAGCGAACTTGGGAGAGTTTGGTGTTTACTGCTCTGTTTACATCTGTGGCTTCCTCTTTTGCCTCCATTACCAACAGGCTCGGGTTATGTATGATTTTGCTGCTGAACCTGGAAATAATGAACTGACGGTCAATGAAGGAGAAATCATCACAATTACAAATCCGGTAAGAGAACTCTACATTTAAATCTGATTTATGGAGTTACTTTTAATATTTTACTTTTTTTGTAAATTGATTATTCAACCCCATGTGAATGATTTTCTCGTTGCTTATGAGGATTGATGGAGGACTAAGCAGCTAGTCTATAAACATTGAGGAGAGCTAAGTCCTTCCAGGACAGCTGAGTCTGTAATTGACTTTGTCTCTTTATTTTACATCTTTTTTCAGTATGTTTATTATTTTTTCTTAAATATTTATAATTTGGGGAGGAGAGGCTGCCTAAAGTTCTGGCATACGGTTCAGTTTGCTTTCTCCTGGAACCAGAATGCTGTGTCTGAGTATTAAGATGTGGTGCTGATCTTCCTGAATTGCTTATTGATCACTGTCATTGTTTTTCCAAGCTTTCTCCTTAAACCAGATTAGATCATCAGAAAGCGGTATGTTCGGCTGGGCACCCGAAGCTCCCTCAGTGGTTAGGGTGCTGGCCACATACACTGAGGCTGGCGGGTTCAAACCTGGTCCGGGCCTGCTAAAAAACAATGACAACTGCAACCAAAATAGCCGGGCATTGTGGCGGGCGCCTGTAGTCCCAGCTACTTAGGAGGTTGAGGCCAGAGAATCGCTGAAGCCCAGGAGTTGGAGGTTGCTGTGAGCTGTGAACCCACAGCACTCTACCAAGGGCAACATAGTGAGACTATCTCAAAAAAGAAAAAAGAAAGTGGTTTGTTCTTAGACCAGCTACCAGTGTGTTAACTTTGCTGAATTAGAAGTTATTGTTTCAACTTTTATTCAAATAAGAAATAACTACATGGGTAACAGGCATTTCTGCATCTTTAGGAAACCTTGTTTGAACAGGTGTGTATATACATAGATTTGCACATTCTCAAAGTACACTCACATATGAACACATCTTCCAGTGTAAAGACGGATGCATGGCTGCATATATAACTAGGGTGTCACTGCCTTCTCTGGCGAGCAGCCGTGGGAGCCTTCATCTCAGGTTTTTTCTTGGAGATGTGGCATGTTTTCTTTCATAAAGCATTATAGACTGTTGGATTTCTTTTATGACATGTGTTGCCAGGAAGCTCAGAGGCAAACATGATATTCTTCTTTTTGTTTTATTCACCTTAGCCCAAGCTCCTGTCAGCTTTCCCCATTACTTCTGTGTGATGTTTATCTCAGTATATGCAGTTGTCCTTTTTGCGTGTAACTTTATTGTTAAGTGTTAAGCATCCTTCATTATGTAGCAAAATTATAAGGTGAACCTCATTTGAAATAAGGTTTTAAGGAATAGTGTATCAATTACTAGTATTTCATTGCAGGCATTCATGGGAAGGGAGCCAAGCGGGAGTGGAGAGTTCCGTATTATAGCTGCAGACTGAGGAGAGTTTAACGCCGTCTTACACTCTCTCTTCACCTGGCTGACTTTTGTGACACTGGACAGACACCTCAGTCTGCACCCGCCCTGTGCAGACCCCGTTCTGTGTCCTCTCTCCCTACAGTCACTCTCACTAATGTGGGCGCATTCCTAGGCTAGAGACCTTGGAGACTCAAACATAGAAGACCTTGGGCTCTGTGCCTGTGACACAGAGGTTATGGTGCCAGCCACATGCACCAAGGTTGGTGGGTTTGAACCCAGACCAGGCCAGGTAAACAACAATGACAACTGCAGCAAAAAAATAGCTGGGCGTTCTGGCAGGCACCTGTAGTCCCAGCTGCTTGGGAGGCTGAGGCAAGAGAATCGCTTAAGCCCAAGAGTCTGAGGTTGCTGTGATGCCACGGCACTCTACCAAGGGCGACAAGGTGAGACTCTATCTAAAAAAAAAAAAAAAAAGAAAGAAAGAAAAAATAGAAGACTTTGCCCTTGCCCTTGCCCCTGTGCCTGTTCTTCTTACTGGATGTTTCCATGGGCTCCTTATTGCACCTGAGACTGTAGGACGTATCAACCTGCCTCTCCATTGGCCTCTGGCCGGCCTCTTGGGTCCCCTGTCTGTTCTGCCTTGTGAGTGTTGGTGTTCCCGCCAGCCCGTTTCCTTAGGCTACATAATCAGGGTTTTTAAATTGGCACGTATATGCTAATGATCTTAAATCTGTATCTGCAGCCAGACTGCATCACACAAACCCCAGAGTGGCGTCAGCGTGTGTGCCAATCACAGCTGGATAATTTACTTAGTTTTTCACAAGCACTTCAGACTCCCCATCTCTTCGTTTTTATGTTGATGTCCCATCCATTCAGTCACCTCAGCTAAGTCATGTAAAGCCATTGATTTTGTCTCTTAAATATTGCTCACACCTAACCTGCCCTCTCTACTCTGTCCTGGTGCCAGCACCCTGAGTTAAGCTCTCATCTTACTTGGTCTGTGCACCTTCCTCACTGGCCTGCGCTTCAAGTTCATGGTCTGTCTAAAAATGTTCGTCTGACCATGTCACTCCTCTCCAGTGGACTGAAAGCTGCCGTCAGCTGTAGGTCTTCAAGTCATTGCCCCACCACCTGGTCCCCTCTCACCTGGCCAGCCTCCCTGTGCATGTGCACAGACACACACACTCTCACACGGCCTGGATTCTCAGGACTTGCCCTCTTGCTCATGTGGTTCCCTTTTTGGCCTTCCCTCTTAGAATTAGTCCACCCCCACTCTCTCTGCCACAAAACAAAAAAATACCATCTTCCTACTTTCTTTATTGTCATGAAAGATGTCCTGTCTAGGCTCGGCGCCTATAGCTCAACCAGCTAAGGCGCCAGCCACGTACACCTAAGGTGGCGGGTTCATATCCCCAGCCTGGACCTGCCAAACAACAATGATGGCTGCAACCAAAAAATAGC